CCGCCAACTATGTAGCATCAATGTCTCTCTTACATATAAGTAATCTAATTTAATCTTAGAAATAAACAGCAGTATTTATATCAAACAGTATAACTTATATCAAACAGTAATGTTTGATGAGTCAACTTATATGACATGGTGTCAGAATTAACCCCGCTCACAAATTTAATGCATAAATTAACATTTACGTATTACTTGCATGCGAAAAATTTAGAAACAAAATGGTGCATAACCTGCCTATGTTGTCACTGTTTGACGGTGGATCGAACCCTTCTGAGGCTTGGAGACACTGTAAGGAAGACTTTAAAGACTATATCGAGGCTCTAAGATATAGCCAAGAGTCAGAAAACACAAAAACTACGCCTTTTCGACATGTTTGCAGTGATGAATTAAAAAAGCATTATCAATCATTTGATTTGAAGCAAGAAGCGAGCAGCAGCAAATTATCCTTAAAGCAAGTGCTACAAGAATTCAACAAATATTTCACAGATTATCAGAATGAGATTTATGCATTATTCTAGTTTCTGGAATTAAAAAGAGGAGAGAAATTAACGGATTTTTACTCAAGGCTACGATGCGCAATAATAGATTGCAACTATGGGCAAGGGGAAGGGCAAGATAGAATGCTTCGTGATAAAACAGTGCAAGGCAAGAATGGCTATTACAAGAAACAAATAGAGCAAAAACCACGCTGCAGAATATCATTAGTGAATGCAAGGCAGCCAAACACAGTAAAGCACAAGCAATTGAAATGAGCAAGAACAAGATCTCCATAGAGGCCCTGAAAAAAAAAAAAAAAAAAAAAAAAAAAAAAAAAAACTCTAAAACTGTTGACGTGGTGGATTCAAATAAAGCATCAGTCTGGTACCAAAAGATTATTCTAAATAAAAATGAAGTAAACTTCAAATTAGACACTGGATCTCAGGTTAACTTTATACCCAAGAGTGAATTGTTAAAGTGGAGTGAGAAACCAAGAATTAAGAAAAATAAACAGCCAATACTGGATTAGAGTGACAACCAAGTACCAATACCAGGTGAGTCCTACCTCACATGTAAAACAAAAAACTGACTTTGTCAGTTTTTTGTTTTTGTCAGTTTCTCTCAAATTTCTGGTAACCACTCTGGAACAATCTCCTATTTTCGGCCTTCAGGCTTGCCAATGCTTGGCCAATACAACAGTCTATCAAATCAAACATGAAAAGAAACAAAATGAAGCAACACCAGAGCAAGTGATACAGGAATTTGCAGATGTGTTTACTGGTGTGGGGAAACTAAATCGCACAGTAAAGATAAAAATAAAATTATACACCTCATGTTGCAGCATCACATAAAGTGCCACTTGCTTTGCACGAAAACGTAAAGTGGGAGCTAAACAGAATGGTTGAAACTGGCAATAGCCAAAGTTGATGAGCCAACAGAATAGGTGAGCAGCATGGTTGTGATAATTATGTCAAAAACTGAGAATTTGCCTAGATCCAAGGCAGCTCAATGAGGCTATTCGAGATTTCACTATCCAATCCCTACAGCAGAAGCCCTTATGACAAAACTCCAAGGATGTAAAATATTTACCATTTTGGATACCAAGAATGGATTTTGGCAGTTACCACTTGATGAAGAGTCATCATATTTGACAACATTGCAAAGCCCTGGAGAAGATTCAGACTTTTGGTTTTCCCTTTCAGTCTGAACAATGCACCTAAGAAATTTCAAAGGGCCATGGAGGAGATTTGTACAATGAGAACAAGAAAGATCTGTATTTTGATGATTTAGCCCTACGCTTGTGATCTGTCAAAAAACATTCCAAATTGTTTTGTAAGACATTTATGATAGCCAGAAGTCTTAATCTAAAATTTAACACTGAGAAAATGCAGCTGTCTCAAACTTCTATGACTTATTTAGGACATGTACTGTCTGATAAAGGCATCACACCTGATCCAAAGAAGATCAAAGAGATTGAAAAGTTTGCAGAACCAAAAGACCGAGAAGAGTTGCAATGATTTCTAGAAATGGTAACATACTTAGCGAAATTTACACCTTAATTATCAAGTCTAACTCATTCATTAAGGGAACTTTTGAGAAAAGACAGCGAATGGTTATGTGATGGAAACATCCAGAGACTATGAGCACCTAAAACAAATGATCGTGCATAGTATTTTAATGAAAACAAACCTGTAACCGTGTCAGTACACAGCAGTAAATATGGAATTGGAGCAGTTCTCTTACAAAATAATCAACCAGTGGCTTTTAGATCAGCATAATTGTCAGAAATACAGCAAATGTATGCACAGATTGAAAAAGAACTCTTAGCAGTTGTATATGAGTTAGAACATTTCAACTACTACAGGTATGGAAGACATATAACAGTACAAACTGATCACAAACCCATTACTAGGCCTTTATAAGAAACCTTATGATACAATCTCACCTCTTCTTCAATGCATTGTCCTCAATCTGAGCAGGTATGATTCTGAAATTGAAATATGTCCCAGGAAAAGAATTGCCAATAGCTGATGCCCTGTCCAGAGCACAATCAACTGTTTTGATGATACCGTTAGCCAAGAACCTACTGTTAATGTTAAGTCTATTATAACACAAGCCTCTACACCAAAATGGCAGGAAATCGTAAATGACAGAAAAGGACCCTGAATTGCAAGATGTGTTATTTCAAATAAAAAATGGATGGCTAGAAAGAAGCAAAATAAGGCCAGCAGCAAAACCTTACTGGCATTGCAAGGAAGAGCTTTATGTGACAAAAGATAGAATAATTTGCCGAGGACAAAGATTAGCTGTGCCAGCATCTTAGGGAAGAAATTATGAAAAAAACCGCATGTGTCTCACAAAGGTAGAGTTTCTAGTAAAGCTACAAAGTATTTTTACTGGACTAACATCAACAAAGATGTGGAAGAATAGGTTTCTAAGTGTGAGGTATGTCAGAAATATCAACAGGCTAAGCAGAGAGAAGTTCTTTTAGACTGTGATCTACCAAAAAGACCCTGGCAAAAAGATGCCTGTGATTTCGTTTACCTGAAGGGACAACATTTGTTAATGATAAACTACTTTTCAAAATACGTAGAGCTGAAACCACTTAAAAATATATTAGCTCAAAGTTGTAACCCCAGTTATGAAGTCCATTTTTGCAACACATGGAATATCAGAGAAGTTCATCACTGATGGTGGACCAACATTCAGTTCTTAAGCACTGCAAAAATTTCTTGAAGAATGGGGTGTTATGCATAACATCACATCATGACATTTTTCCTAGACCAATGGGAAAACTGAAAGATCTGTTCAAATTCTCAAGTCTCTGAACAAAGCTGCGAAAGAAGGAAGAGACTTATATATTGTTTTGCTTCAACTTCCAAAAGATTTGACATTCCCGGCTGAATTATTAATGGGAAGAAGACAGATCTTTCCTGCCTTAACATCCTAAAACAATACAACCAAAATTTTAAATAAAAGGTGCAAGCAAGGCTTTAGAAAGCAGGCAGATGATGCAAAAGAAATATGCCCATAAGCATGCAACCCTGCTTACAAAACTTCATGAAAATGATAAAGCGTGGTTCAAAGAGAAAATTAAAGAACCTTTGAAACAGGGTGTAATCATGAAGATAGCTCCTCAACCAAGATCTTATGTCATAAAAGTGAATGATGGAATTGTGTACAGGAGAAACCGATATCACATTCGTAAAGACAACTCTATGTGTAAAACTACAATGTGGAACAGAACAGCAAAAGAATTTTTTTGGACTTGGCCATTCAACACAGAATCAACCTATTCTTGATGACAAGCAGAATCCACCTATGGAATAGGAAACTGATTCTACTAAACATTCTCAAATTCCAGAAAATGTGTCAACTGAGACAGTGTTAAGAGGATCAAGCAGAAATACAATAAATCTCTTCGATATAGAGAGGAATTAGGAAGAACTTATTGATGCCATAAATTATACTTTATGGACAATTTAATAAACCACTATTTATGGACTAATTAATGGAATTTAATGAACTGTTTAGAATTCTAAAATATCAGTTTAATCAGTAATCTTAAAGATTTAAATGAACCATCAAGGTATGTAATTTTGCTAAGTTTTCTAAAAGCAACTGCTAAGTAATGATTTAGTGCATGTATTTGCTAAAACGTTTTCTTTTAGCTGTTATAGTCAACTGTTAAGTAATGATTTAGTATATGCAATTTCCCAAAATGTTCTTAAGTATTCTAATTTAATCTCATAAATAAACAGTAATATATCTATGTTTGACACGTCAACATATATGACACAGCATATGCATTTTCAATAAAAATGCAGTGTCTCCAACTTAGAAACATTTTAAAATATAAGCAACAAGAAATCACACTGGGCATATTAAACGAAAATAAGGCCTAGTAAGTTTCCAGCAAAGTTCAAAAGCATTTATAAACAAAGAAAAGATAAAAGATGATGTCTAAGAAAGACAGTTACCCAATATTTTTTAGGAAGAGAATCTCCATCCAAACAATATCATGTTTCTCATTATTTTGCATTTATGCCAACCACTTTCCTACTTTCCTATACACAAGTACAATAAAATTACATTTTCATTTATTTTATTTGTTTAATATTCTGTATAATTTTTTTGCTTGTTTTATATTTACTAATTCCCATTGAGTTTGGATTATGAACTTCAGCACAAAAATAATGTTGTAAAGTTTAAAAAAACAATCATCTGCAGTCCAGGAAAATTTAACCCATTTTACATTAATTCTTTTAGGAAAACCTGTTTTGATTTATGAACATTTCATTTGATGAAGGTCTTCAGGTGCAAATTAAATTTGTTAAATGAGGTTTCACCGTGTATCTTCTTAGCATTTCATGGAAGGGAAGAAATGTGTGCAAATACTTATTGAGGAAATAAAAAAAATTAATCATCTCATTTATGCTCAGCATACAAACTCACAGAAAATACATGACTGGCAAAAACATAAATTTAAAATGAGTAATGAAAAAAATCCCCCTTTTTACCTCACAAAATAAACCTTTCAGATTTCTCCTTGAATGATGGAACCTTCGAAGATGGAAGGCTACCATTTGGCGCTGTATGAGTTTGGCACCTGATATACGTCTTTCAGATAACTCTGGCAGTGGTGGCAAGTCTACATGTTGAACATTATCACATCCTAAAGCAAGAAAAATATTCAATTATTTAATCAAAGTTCAAAACATTTAAACATATATGAAACTGTGTGAGATATATCACACATATGTACAGTCAAAAGTCGTTAATTTGGACACCCATAATCCGGACCGCAAAGCTAAAAACTTTCTGCGCATGCGCTGCGTTGGCACATGCGCACAGTCGTTTTACGCGTGCGCGTAAGACCTTGACTACTGCGCATATGCGTGTGCGCAAGTGCAGAATACATTTTCGCCTGCGCGTTTAATGTATAACGGACGGTGTAAGCTAAAATTATCTAATTATCTATTTCAGTTAATGTTAATGATTGCGTTGTTCCTTAATCTTCGAATTGGATTGCGCTTATTATTTTTTGCAGACTGTAAGAGCAATTTTATAAAAGTAAACTTGAACTTTCGATTATGTCAAATAGAATTTCCGATGCTGGAACTTCCAAAACGAAAGTAGGTTTCGATGTCCAACAAACAAAAAGTGGAATTGCCGAAAAAATGGACAAAGACATGAAGAATGTGACAGAGAGGTTAGTGAAAACGAAAAAATTTCGATTGACAAGTTAGTCGGTATTCTCGGCACAGCAATTAACGGCACTTGAACAGCGGAACTTTGTAACTGAACAAGAAATTATGTCTGTTTATAGAATTAAAGAGAAAGTATTTATCACATAAAACGAAACAACTTACATTGAAAGAAATGTTTAATAAAGTAAACAAATAAATATGAAGTTTTTTTTTTTTTTTTTTTTTTTTGTAAATTTTGATACCCTTTAGATTATAATTGTTCTTTATTTCATAAATTACGGTTTCATATTTTTAATTTTAGAATTTCTGCATGCCATCTTACGAAATTTAAACTGATGATCTATAATCCGGAAAAATCGATAATCCGGAATCGCCGAAGTCCCGACGAGTCCGGATTAACGACTTTTGACTGTATACATCATAGTAATTATCACCACTATAATATGTATACACCTTTATTAATAATGAATTATAATCTTTAATAACTAATGATGCGTTTAAAATGTAATCTTAATCTGATCTCTTTTACTTAACATGATTCAACCACAGAATAAAATAGAAATACTTAATTCATGCAAGGATATAACAATACAAGACAATGGTAGGGTAACAGATGAACAGACTATACGATCACAGAAGCAATAAGTCATAAATATATTAGTCATTAAGAAAAATTAAAACTTATAAATAAACAACAGAAATTAAGCAGACATGAAAGCTTCAAATTAATATATATCAGATATAAAAGTACACTAAATATTTAAAATGAGAACAAAAAAGTGTAAGGATAAACAAGGTGATGTTTTCAAATTGTCAGCCTATGGAAACAGATCATAATTTCTGATTATGCAATTAAGAGCATAACACAATGAAGATTATTAAAGACAATTCAGCAACATGCATTTGACAATTCAAGAGAATGTCTAAGAAAGAGTGTGATAGCAATATTTCTGCTTCAGTGATGAGTGAATTTTAAAACCATATCAATTAATGTTTAGGGAAAACTGTCTCGGTTAAATATCTTTCCTTAAATGCTAAAAAGGTCTGAATGCAATTTTAAAAACTTTGTCTCTGCAAATAAGTAAACAAAAATGTTCCAAGAAATATTTACAAAAACTTGATTATATAGAATACATAAATTCCCCACCTAAGAGTTCTCATTTTATAACAAGATTTTAAAATAATGGTTAATATTACATTTTCTTGATTTTTTTTCATAAGCATCACTCTGCTTTTCTACTCAAAAAGTAGAATAATGACTTTGTAAAAGAAAAAAGCACTGAACTTCAGCATAGCTATTCAAGCATGTCCTATTAATTTTATAATACTAGGTGCTGAATAAAATTAATAAATTTTTATGTCTTCTGTGAGTGTTTCTGAAAATATTCATTTCCTTTGCATTTTTTAATAATAAAATATATCAATAATAAGATTTCTGAAGTTTTCATTAATAAAGCAATAAGTGATGTCAAAAAGAAGGAAATGTTATTTAAAATTAGATAAAAAAAAAGCAACCTTAGATTGATATAGATTTAGAATAAAGCTCTAAGGCTGCTGTAAGGCTGTCTTTATCATTATTCTTACTTTAATCTAAAAATAAATTTTCGTAGTTCACCTAAAATCTAAAAATTCAGCACCTACATATGACAAATGTTACATATGACAAAAAGGATGAAAAAATTAACAGATGTAGATTTGTTAATTGAACATCAGATCTAATGCTGCTAGCTTGCAAGATAAAATTACATAAATAATAAGTACTTGCAAAGTTTTCTTAAAGAAACAAATAAAATATTATGTATACACCTCTGAAAGTTTAAAAGTATTTGGCTTTAAATTAAAAGATATTCAGTTTCTAATCATTGCTATGCTTAATAGTACATAATTATACAGTCAAAAGTCGTTAATTCGGACACCCATAATCCGGAATGATCTATAATCCGGACCTCAAAGCTAAAAACTTTCTGCGCATGTGCCGAGTTGACACATGGGCATAGGCGTTTACGCGTGTGCATAAGACCTTTACGACTGCGCATATGTGTGTGCGCAAGCGCACAATACGTTTTTGCGTGCACGTTTTATGTATAACGGATGGTGTAAGCTAAAATTATCTATTTCAGTTAATGTTGATGATTGCGTTGTTCCTTAATCTTCGAATTATTTCCGGCTTATTATTTTTTGCAGACTGTAAGAGCGATTTTATAAAAGTAAACTTGAACTTTCGATTATGTCAAATAGAATTTCCAATACTGGAGCTCCCAAAGGATCTACAAAATGAAAGTATGTTTCGATGTCCATCAAACAAAAAAGTGGAATTGCCGCAAAAAAAAATGGATATAAATTAAAGACATGAAGAAGGTGACAGAGAGGTTAGTGAAAACGAAAAAATTTCGATTGACAAGTTAGTCGGTATTCTCGGCGCAGCAATTACGGGACTTGAACAGCGGAACTCTGTAACTGAACAAGAAATTATGTCTGTTTATAGAATTAAAGAGAAAGTATTATCTCATAAAACGAAACAACTTACATTGAAAGAAATGTTTAATAAAGTAAACAAATAAATATTAGGCTTTTTTTTTTTTCTAAATTTTGATACTCTTTAGATCATAATTGTTCTTTATTTCATAAATTACGGTTTCATACGAGGGCTATCCAGAAAGTAGATTACGTTTTGGAATAAAAAAATAAACAAAGTATAGGAAACAAATTTTATTATATACAGATGAAAGCCACACTCAAATACTACTTTTCTACATAGTCACCATACAAATTAAGGCATTTATCGTAGCGATGTACGAGCTTGGAAATTCCTTCGTCGAAAAATTCGGCCGCCTGCGCCTTCAACCACTTCGTTACCCCCTCTTGCAGCTGTGCGTCGTCATCAAAACGCTGCATAGCCAGCCACTTCTTCATTGCTGGGAATAGGTGGAAGTCGCTCGGTGCCAGGTCGGGACTGTACGGCGGATGAGGAAACAACTCCCACTTAAAAGATTCAAGAACTTTACGAGTGACATTTGCCGTGTGGGGCCGGGCGTTGTCGTGAATCAACAAGATCTTAGAGCTCAACATTCCTCTGCGCTTGTTTTGAATTGCTCTTCTGAGTTTTTGGAGAGTTTGGCAATACCTTTGAGAGTTTATTGTAGTGCCTCTTTCCAGGAAGTCCACCAAAATTACACCTTTTCTGTCCCAAAAAACAGTCGCCATCATCTTCCTTGCCGACATTGTTTGCATGCATTTCTTGGGTTTTTGGGGAGAACTTGTGTGCCCCCACTGCATTGATTGCAATTTCGTTTCACAGTTCACATGTTTCACCCATGTTTCGTCACCAGTAACGATGCGATCGAGTAAAGAGTCACCATCCTTATGGTAAGCGTCCAAAAAGTTCAACGCTGCAGCCATTCGCTGATTTTTGTGGTCCTCTGTCAAGATTTTTGGAATCCATCTTGCACAAAACTTGTGGTAACCAAGCTTTTCGCTGATGATTTCGTGCAACAAACTTCGCGAAATTTGTGGAAAAACTCAAAGAAAGTTCCGTTATTGTGAAATTTCGATTTTCACGGACTTTAGCATCGACTTTTTCGAGAAGTTCGGCGGTCACTATGCTGGGTCTCCCACTTCGATCTTCGTCGTGTGAACATTGGTTCGGCCATTTTGAAATCTTATGACCCACTGATGGCACTCCACCTTCAGTGATAATGTTGTCCCCATACACTTCACGAAGCTGCCGATAGATTTTATCGGTTTACAGTTTTTGCAGTCAGAAACCTTATTACTGAGCGCACCTCGCAGCTCGCGGGATTTTCAATTAACGCAGACATTTCAAACCGTCACAGTATCTGAACGGAGCACAGCACGAACCTCTCACTAGCACGGCTAGATGCAGACTCAGCTGTGCAACGCTCTGACCCCAAGATGGCCGCGCTAGCCCCGCCCCTAGCGGACACAGACGGAAACGTAATCTACTTCCTGGATGGCCCTCGTATTTTTAATTTTAGAATTTCTGCATGCCATCTTACGAGATTTAAAGTGATGATCTATATTCCGGAAAAATCGATAATCCGGAATCGCCGAAGTCCCAACGAGTCCGGATTAACGACTTTTGACTGTAATTCTTCAGTGAATATCAAATGAAAAGAATACAGGCAATGCAGGAAAGAATTTCATTAACATTTGTTTTAATGAGACTGGAAAACATACATGCCAGTGTAAAATTTTAAATTAGCAAAAGAGCAGACTAAATTAAACAAAAGAATAAGCTTAGAAATTTATTCAGAGTCTAAAAGCCAATATAAAATTGTGTTTTGTCTATTTTAAGTAATACTTCCTTCTTTGCTGATGAACATTTCATTTTATTTTTCTTAGATTTTGCATTCAAATTTGAGATTTCAGCATGATTAACATTTGATTAGATACATATTTTTCACACAACAGTACTGGAAATAAATAGCAATAAACATATATTATTTTATAAATAAATCAGTATCTCTTGTATGTTTACCTAAGAATACCTAATTTGAAAGTAATTCAAAAACAATAATTTATCTAAATTTTATAAAAGTATTTAAAAATTTAACAGTTGCAACTGCATTTATATAACCACTAAAATCAAGTTATACATTCAGGTTTCCTTTCCCATATCATTTTTAAATTTTAAATTAGCAAAAGAGCAGACTAAATTAGACAAAGGAATAAGCTTAGAAATTTATTCAGATCTAAAAGCCAATATAAAATTGTGTTTTGTCTATTTTAAGTAATACTTCCTTCTTTGCTGATGAACACTCATTTTATTTTCCTAAGACTTCAAATTATAATGGTTTAACACCTGAGAAGATTTCCACCTTTCCATATCTACTGCTGCCAATCAAAAATTAAACTCATAAATGAAATTAAAATGCAGTAAAAGAATTATAACTTTAAGATTTCCAGCATTTTGTTTTCACATTATTTTTTTAAACGTAGAATACTGTACAAAGAAAAATATCAAAATATTAAGAACTATAGTGGCTCACAAACGTGTTCAGACACTTATGAGTTTCAGTGAAATATTGCTTCATTCATTAATAAAAATTACCGTATTTGACGGCATATAAGATGCACTGGCATATGAGACGCACCCTTATTTAGAAGGCCACACACATGTAGATGTAGAAAAAGTTATGTGTGTCCAGATCTTTATCCATGCAAAAATAGCATTCAGTATTGAAAGTTAACCTGTGTCCTTCATGTATAAGACGCAAGTAACTTTTTTGAGACCAAATTTAGGAAAAAAAGTGCATCTTATATGCCGTCAAATACGGTAATATTTTAAAATGAAAATTTTTTAATATCTATAAATCTCTCTTAGCAAAACTACATTAATTATTTTATAAACATATTAAAATTTTATTTTTGGAAAATCAATAATAAAAAAGTAACAGAAAAGTTACCTCACAAAAGCCTTCATAGGCTTTAAAGAAATCTGCACATATTAGTAAATATTGTAGTATTTCTGTCAGTTAGTATTTTGTAGTATATACTGCAGTATTGACAGCTTTCAAACATCTGGCATAGAGTTCAGTTTTTTTTGGGGGGGAATATCTTGTATTTTTTGGATACAATATCTGTATCAATGTTCCTTCATCATTACTGTTTTTAGTTTGCTTTTTGTTTTAATATTGTGTCTTCATACTCTAATTCTCTACAGATGTATTCTGGTGGGTTTAATCTGATGACTGGGCTGGTGTTTTTGGAACTTGTGAATAATTATAGACACCCAAAAAGCAAACATTGAGGACTGAGTGCTTAAAATCATTATCCTAATAAAAATAAAGTTGTTTTCAGTATCCAAATTTCGGGTGGCTAATTTGAAATAAACTTTTAAAATATTTATATAAAGAGCATGGTTCATCATGCTATCAATAAATACTAAATAATTTAACACTGATGTTGAAAAGCACCCTCACATAAGAACACCTCCACTGCCATGCTTTAGTGTACCAACCAAGGTCTTGGGATTAAGCTCTTCATTTTTTTCCCTCCATAGAATTATACCACCATCGAAATCAAAAATGTTAAATTTTCTTTGATCTACAAATAAAACATGATTTTAATGTGCTTCGGGCTTATTTATCACTCATTTTAATAGGAAAAGCCTTATTTTTTGCACTTCCAAAAATTTTTCTTCGAGCAGAGCACCTATATAATCCAGCTGATCTGAGTACTTGTCAAACAATTTTAAGTGAAATTAAGTAGAAAAGTTTTTGGTAAATTCTGCACAAATCTTTAAAACATGCAAACATGGATTTCTTTCAGATTTTCTTAGTATAAATCTCTGATCATATTGAGTCAAGTCCTCTTTGCCGTACAACCTCTTCTTACTTTATTTTGGATTGGATTTTCTTCTTTAAAGCATTTTATCACACACTGCACCATAGAGTGGGACAGATTTAGCAATATATGTAATTTTTAATCAATTTTCAATGCTTCCTTATGCCTATGAGCTGTTTTTAAATATTAATTAAAATACATCAAAGTAAGTAAGCAAAAATAAAGCAAAACAATTTTTTAAACATCACTAAAATGCAATAATAATAACAAAAAAAACGTGGTAGACGATAATTTGATATATGAAATTTTACGAAAATATTTCCGTGTCCGATCACTTCTGTGGCATGCTTTATCCACACCTCCTTACATTTTTAATTTTAGAAAAAAGAAATACATCAGTATTAAAAACTAAAAAGTTTGGTTTGATTCAAAGTTACATGGAGATGATATGAAAAATATTGGGCTTTATATTCGAATTCAATTCCGGGTTACAGCGCTTTTTCTGCAAATTCTTAAAGTATGCAAACACTTTTGTGAGACACTGTACATTATTTTTTGAAAATGATAATCATTTTATATAAAATTTTAAAACGGTTAATATACCCAAAGACAGAGAAAAAGAAAGTTGCATTCAATCTGTTATTCAAAGTTTCAGCACAATTATTTGATTTGATTTTTGACATAGACAATGGTATATACAAAAACTAGACTTTGCAATTTTACATTAACATGACATGTGGGAACGCAGTAAAATTCTGTACTTTTTAGCCAATTTATCTCATATTCTTAGGAGTAAATATTTACAAATATAACCTGAAATTTATAAATAAGGTTATTGCAAAATTCTCATGATAGTCATTTCAAATAATGTTTGCAGCTCAAACTATATTGACAAGTATAAAAAATTATACGATGTAATTTAAAATGCCATTTAGAATATATTTTAGAGGAAAACATTTATATCCTTAACATCTAAGGTTTAAAGTGTTATGTAAGTTAATAAGAACAATGCAGCAGCCCATACATAGAAATAAATTCAAAACGTCAGTGTGATATTTTTGGTATTTTCACCAAGTCTTGAAAGATAGTCTTAAGATGACTAAAAATACAAAAATTAACATACATTCAGAAATCTAAAAATACTTTAAAATATATGTCAGCTTTAAAGACTGACTGATAATAATTTAATTTCTTATCACATATACAACAAAACTGTCATCTATGATTATAGCTCTGACAACAATTAATAATCTGAATATGATAAAAATGAACAAATATAATTGAATGTTTTTAAATACCTCAAATAAGAGGAAAAGTTAATTAGCTGAATATGATGAAAATGAAAAAAAAAAAAAAAAAAAAGTAAGTAAACCATTTTTTTTTTATCTCCAAACAAAGAATATATAGAATAATATTTTGTAAATACAGGTTCCCAGCTCTAGAAGGTTAGTATTAAAGCATAAATACTGATCTTGTGAAAGACATACAGTGTAAATGTTATGCCAGTAAAAAGGAAAGAGGGAAAACATCCACTACCAAGTGTGATCATGCAAAGTAGAGCAACAGAAAATATCAGTCCTATGTAAATTGAACTTACCGCTTCCGCCAGTGAGGCTTTCCCTTACGGCTGCAACAATGCAAATGACATGAACGCATTAGTGCAACATGCTCTACAGTGACAAAAAGCTCTCTAGTAAATCAGCAAGATTATAGCAATGGAAACCATACAGCTTAAAGGAATAGAAGGCTACAAACAAACACTAAAAGTAAACAAACATTAAAAGGACAAACATAAAAACAACAAAAAATAAATATGGTTTCCACTACTAATTTGATAAGATGCACATTTATAGATTCGAAATATTAAAAGACAGTGATTTTACTGAGATTTTATTTTAAATCACAGCCACTGCAGATTTAGTAATAAGAACAAAATGCACAGATGATATGAGATTTATGAGTCTTTTCTCAATACCGGAACCCTGATATACAAAGCATAGATTTAATGGGGTTTTTTTTTATTTATTTATTTTAACTTTGTTTTAGAAGGGAGCGGGCTTGGTATAAATTCAGAAAAACTTTGGTGAATATTGTGTCCCAGCCTGCAATGACCTTATATCTGCTTTCTTGACAATGAGTTCCGGGATGCATGAGCATCTACCCTGGACAAAATGAGTTGCAGGCCCCCCAGTGTTTAGACCCCAAGCAAATTTGGCACAATTTTATCAACCCGTGCAAGAGATGAAAGGTTGAGTCAATCCTGCCCAGCCCAGGAATTCAACCCTAGACCTGTGGTGGTGCTGCGCAATGCACCAGTCATTGCGCCCCACCCCCAGGCCTCAATTTTAAAAATAGCCCAAAAAGGGGGAAAAATTGATGGCGTTTATTCAGTGCTGGACTACAAATCAGTCTATTAGGTGCAAACAGTAAATCACATCAACTACAGGGGTAAAAAGTTTTTTTTTTTTTTTTTGCGCCAATCAAACTGTTAAATTTTCTCTTCTTTTCTTTTCTTTTTTTTTTTTTTTTCCGCCAATCAAACTGTTAAATTAACTACAACTTCTGAATATGCGAATATATATTTGCATATAAGCTAATGAATAAAACCAAAATACTGATCATGAAGCCAAGGCTTGTCTTACAAATTTGTGTTAAAGAGTGAAACAATTTTTCCTGTACTATTTTAGATTATAGGTACTTAGATTATGTAGGTAAATATTTGTCTCCATATGACCGAATACCAATGAAATTTTGTAAAAATAAAATGTTAGATTAAAGTGAGAAAGACTTGCTGTATTATGCAAAAATGACAAACATTAATATATTTATTGTGTCTTAATTATTTAATATTTGTATATATTGTTTAATAATTATTATTGTTTATTGTTTATTATTGTTTAATGTATTATTGTTTAATATATTGTGTCTTAATTATTAATATATTATTGTGTCTTAATTATTAATATATTTATCAAGATGTCCTAATGAAAAATGGGTCAGAGCCCATTTTTGTCCAAGAGACAGACACAAACTCAACTGGGAGGTATTCTCACAATAGGCAGACAGAAGTCTGCTTTTTACCCCATGTGATCAGCATGTGTGTGCTGGTAGGCATTACAGGATGCAAGTTTTTTGCATTCAATATATATGTTAAACATTGAAAAATTCTTTAAATTAAAGAGTAACATTAAGCTTTGACTATATACAGAGCACATATATGGTTATAGTTAGGGGTAATTCAGCAATTTAAAAATGAAACATAAAAATCCATTAGGTAAGCAAATACTGAAAGTTATGGAAATGTTATAGATTTGAAAAATGAAGTATAATCAAGTGATCATGAAAAGATTGGCAAATAAGACAGGCTGCTGTGGCATTCAATTTTATTTCTATTTTCTTTTTATATTATTACAAAAGAAGATATCAAACTCTTTTATAATTAATCATAAAATCTAAACTTAACTCTGTGCATATAAAATACCAAAGATGAAATAAGTTTATTAATATTTTTTTAACTTTCAAAAATAAAAAAAAAATAGTGGGCCCTTAGGCATTGCATAAGCTTGCCCATCTATAGCTATGCCACTATTAGGATAGTTTAGCTATGCCGCTCTTAGGACTGTTACTACGGATAAACTAACTAATAAGGCAGGGGTTCAAGACCAGGAAGGAATTCTCCCTATGAGGGGAATGCCATAGTTTCAGGGGAGGAAAGTGGTAAGCCTTTTATTTATCTGTAAAAAAATTTGTTTGGATATAAATAACTACTTTTATTTAAGTTCTGTGATTTACCAACATTTTCTGTGCCTTTTATGGTTTAATTTACAAAACACGTTAGAAAATAATCTAAATCTCAATGTATTTTTCAACTTTTGAAAAGGAGGAGGTAATGATCTTGTAGTAATGGTGAAAGAGGTGATGGGGGAAAAAAGGTAGAGAACCTGTCTAGAGAGAGGGATGCTTTTATGGAGAACTTTCTATGGAAAACTGGGTCATATTCACACTACATATGGAAAAAATCCTTTAAATCAATCCCCTTTATCTGGGCTTGAATTCAGTGGTCTTTAATCACTCGGCTACTCGTGCGGCCAATTAAGGATTGAAGACTTGAAAAAAAAAAAAAAAAACCTAGCTTTTGTTTTGTACGGAACTGTGTAAAAATTACTGCTAAAAAGTAGAACACACCAGTCCTCACATTACATATTTGTTAATCCTATTTTGGGGATAACAATACTACCAAATAAGGTGTTTCTTACTGATTAAAGCAAAGTATACAGAGAAATGGAAGAAATACCTTTGCAGGAAACTTTCTAAGAAAAAACAGCTTTAATTTCCCAGAACTGATGAAAAGTTACTACTGAAAAGGAGGATGAAATCTAATTAGACGTACCAGTTTTCCCATAATTATAAGAAACAGCTAATTCTAGCTCTAAATTAATTACTGACATACCACTTAAAATGCATGCACTCAGTACGAGAGAAGATGTGATGTCAATCGAATGGAAAGATGTTCCATTGTTTATTTAAAGCTTTTTTCTATAACTTTCAATAAACACTTTAGTTTAGCCTTTGTACTTTGAAGCCTCTTTTCCTCACGTACATACTTTCCGACACTCGTACATGCTACCGGTAAGAAATAATGAAAAGGAAACATGAAATACATGTTTGCAAAAGCTCTTTCAAAGACTGAAAGAAATTCGAATGACATACAAAATAGAAGACAAAATACTTAACACATTTCATATACTAATAAAGAAACATTGGGGGTGAAATTTTGAAAAAAAAAAATGCAGACTTCCGTAGGTTCTTTTTCTAAATAAAAACTCACTCAACAGAATAATTTTTTAAACTTTTTATTATTATATTATGCATACAAAATACCTTACATTTATTTACGTTCTTACTTATGTAAATATATGATTTTTTGATGTCTCTACCAAAGTATCAACTCAACAAATGAACTCTAACTATTTTATCACTAGATTCACGATCTGTTAAATCTCAATTCAACTGTATATAAATGTGCATATCATCAAAGTAATACATATTAACAGACCAAAGACAAATATATTTGACTAAGAAGACAGAAGCAAAATTACATGAAAATTTTTATTCAAAAACAAAAGCACCTAAAGCAAACAAAATATCGAACTTCTAATCTTAAAAGCAGTTCTACAACTATGGAGGCTTCCAAAATATAAAACACAAATTCAGTTGATATTTACCTGTTTCTTCCGAGTTATTGTCATGTGCATTTTTACCACTTATTTCCTTGCCAAAAAACCTGGCAATGCTGTGCAGTTTTAAATGCATGAGTGTATTCCTAAGACTAAACCACTTATTTTTTTCCCTCTCCATATCAATTTCTAGTTCACCTGAAATTCATAAAAGTGCAAATCTTACACAGTGGAAATTTTCTTACAAACAAAATTAAACATACATCTCTTTCTTTTTTAAAAGTGAAAAAGAATAAAACTGTTCATATATTCAGACAATTAGCTAGATAAATACACAGCTGCTACAAAAAAAAAAAAAAAAAAAAAAAAAAAAAAGACAACATGAAAACAAGTGCAATACAGTACCATCATGTGTATTTTCTTCTTCAATATCTGTAGCTGTACCAGCAGCTCCAGTAACTTTCAAAAACACCTGAAATTAAATTAATATTATTTATAATTGTCACATTTAGTGCATTCATGTTGATAATTCAGAAAAAGTTTTTACTTAAAAATAACACTCTTTTAAAGCATACAACACAGCTCTGAATTTCTTATCCGTTATCTTAATAAACTATTTTTCTATTTCAGTAAATAAACTAATTTATTTCACCTTAATTACACCTTCATTAAGGGTGCTATGGTAAATTATTTCTGCTTTTAACTAGTGTATCAATCAATATCATCTTAGCAAATTATTTCTCTATTTTAACAAATAAACTACTTTATTTAACAGCTTGCGTTACAGGAGGTGGAATAAAATATTCCTACATTTTAATAAATAATCATATCAATTTATATGGTCTTTAGTTAGTTATTTCTGCATTTCAGTGAATAAAATGATTAATTTTTCTTTAATAAATAATGTTTGCATTCCAAGGCATATAGTTATAATTTGCTATAGTATTCACTAATATATTTATTTATACTATATTGTTTTTTTCTCCAAAGTTATTTCACTGAATGAATTTATTTCTTTTACTTTCATGAAATGTTTTTGTATTCTAAGTACTTATAAACCTGAACGAGATTTATGATAGATTTGTACGTAATCATTTCATTATACTTAGTAAATAAATATCTGATGTGTACACCACATGACTTCCTTGTACGGAATATTAAAGCTAGAATGATGTATAAAAGAAATTAAGCAATTAAAACAAAAAGGAAACAGTTTTTTTTTTTTTTTTTACAGACAATTTAGTATTTCTCATTCATGTAATTCAGTTCTCACTTCGCAACAAGGCAAAAATACATAAAAACTCACAATATCTATATTAAATTTACGAAGTAAATCTTAAACACTTATTTTCTCAAAAAAAAATTCCAGAAAGGATTAAGCATGACTTAATTCGCAATAAATGAAGGCATTATCTTTGTTTTTGTGAAGCTTTAGTCTCTCTAGATTGACAGCAAATCTACTATTCTGCTGTTTCAAATGTAAATAAATATAACTGCCATGTTATTTAAAGATTAGGCTTACCCGTACTTAAACAGCTTTTAAATTGTTGATATTTGTACAAATATTGCTTGCAGATTTACGAAAGGCATATAAACTTTAACCGGAAGATAAGAACAACATAATTCAATCATTTTTAAAGCAAAAAATGTATAGTTTACAAACATATAAAAGTAAAGAAACTGAGATCACTGAGGCGGGTAACAAAGTGGATATTTATAATTATAAATATATTTATATACGTTTGGTGTAGCCGATTCAACAAATATGAGGTGCACATATACATGTTTAACGTCATACAAAACTTCAATGTTCTGAGGCAATCGTTTTGAGCTATGCGAGATACGTACGTACATACGTTCGTACAGTCCACGAAAAAATTCTCTTCAGAATCCTTTCAAGCAGTTTTATAATTTTTTTGAGGAAAAGAGTCTTTTATTCCGTCCTTACGTTCAGATGTCACCCAAAAACACCGTTAAATTGCATTCGATAGCGTCCAAAATGGATATTTTCGTTGAAATATGCTGCTTGAAACTTTTCGCGATTACAATACTTCCTTTTTACTTCGTACAAGAAGTAAAAATGGTAAACCAATGTTTAGAAAAAATATTTTCAACTGCAGATCCCTGGTTTTATGCTTATTAACTCATATTCTTATTATTGTTACCTTTGCTGTCACTTCTACTTTCATTGCCTCACACCAAAATAAAAATGAATTGACTTACATAAGAGTAGAGTTCTTGAAGTTAGGCAGAAGTTAAGGAGGCAGTGACCCCTAACATTCTCCAAACTATTTTTGCCTAGTTTTTAGATTTACATTTGAAATTAGCCTTTGTTAGCCAAACTGCTCACATGATTAGATTTTCTGAACCAAACTGTAAAATAAGCTCATACTCTCTAATCATGCAAACTTTAAATTAATTAAATTTTACCTCAACATTTATATTCTGTTAATCCTACGAGCAATGATTTGTTCTGTAATGACCCCAAGCTGTGTAAGCTATGACCCCCCCCAGGGAAAGCGATTAGAAATGCAATTATTTATGAATGATTAGTGAATAAAATCGTGATTTTGCGATTAGAATTCATATTTTTCTGAGTTTTGTTTCTTGTGCTTTCCCAGGAGCTCGGGTACCTTGGCGTGGTCGGGGGTCTCCCTCGTCAAAGAGGGTCAAAATCCTGAGCTATATGAGACTACTACTTTGCTGACTTGGTGAGAACCTTAGGGTACCAAGTCAGTAACCACCCTAGCATTTGAACTCTGTAAATATTTGATTAATTTTTGTGATCAATTTAATAATCATGAACTCAAAAGACATTCTTAAAGAAGGTCAGGCCTATGTCGCCAACCTTCAAACGATTCTTAAAATTAAGGCCAGCGGACTCAATAGAAATGTGGCCTCAGATATTAGGCATCAGTTCCGACTAACGTTCATTTTATTAACGGAACAATGTGTGGAGATGGCCCACCTAGAAGGCCAAATACAAGCAATAACAATTAAGGAAAAAGAAAAGGATTCTTATGCGGACGTGTTAAAACGCCCCACCAGAGATCGATCTAGATCCAGGAAAAAACCAGAAAAACAGTATGTAACTATCCTTTACCCCATAAAGGAAGGGGATAAATCTGAATCGCTAAAGAAAAAAGTACTGAAATCCATTGATCCTTCGAAGCTCCACATTGGAGTTAAGAGAGTTAAACAGGTTTCCAAAGGAGGACTATTAATCGAAACAAATAAAGAAAATGACTTGGAAATTTAAGAAAAAGAAATTAGTTCCACTCCAGAATAAAAGGAGGAACTCCAAATTGTGAGACCACTCAGACGTTCTCCAAATATTATCATCTACGATATACCAAAGGATATCTTTCTTAAGAAGAGCTCCTGGAAGCTCTAAAGGCACAAAACGAAGGACTTGACGATGATGGATTACAAGTAAAATTTCCAATTAAACAAAAACATAAGTATCACTGGGTGTGCGAGACCACTCCAGACATATTCAAGCAATCAACAAAAATCAAAAAAGTTTGCATTAATTGGGAAAGATTCAATCTAAAAGACTATCTCAGACCAACTCAATGTTTCAAGTGTTGCCAATTCTGGCATATCTCGAAGCAATGTCAAACGGAAGAGGCTTGTGGCCACTGCAGTGAAGTAGGCCACTCCCATAAGTAGTGCGATAGCTAAACTCTTAAGTGTATAAATTGTGCAGAAAGAAATGCAAATAACGAGCAGCAATATGATGAAGGACATTCTAGCTTTGATAAAAATTGTCCATGTCGTATTTTAAAAATAGAAGAACTTAAAAAGCGTATTAATTATGCATAATTCTATTCATAACAATTTTATAAGAGCTGTACAAATAAATTTAGCCAGATCCTATGTAGCAACTGCACAACTGAAAACTCATATTTTTGACTATGATCCGGTTTTTGTACAAGAACCGTACTGCATAAATAATAAACCAGCGGGTTTCCCAATACAAATTAAAGTGATCTCAACATCAGAGGGACTTCCGAAGATGGCCATAATGGTCGTGAATCCCCATCTAACGGTGCTGAATACTGTTACTACTCCGACTTTGAACATTATAACTCTGAAAATTCAACAAAGATCACTATCAGTGACTCACTGATCTCACAGATCTAGCTTCCCTTCTAGACTTGGTTGAGAGACATTTATCAGAAAATCATGATAATATTATATTAAGCGACCTTAATGCTAAGAGTGAACTATGGGGTTCTCCATTTGAGGACCCTAGAGGAAGAATGGTCCGAGAATTCTTAGTTTCGAGACAATTCATTGTTGAAAATGACCCAAATGGTCCTCCAACCTATAACTGCTCCCGAAGTAAAAGCTGGATCAACATAACAGCCTGTCGAGGAAATGCGATTCGAGACTGCAGGGTCTTAGAAGACCTCTCTTTAAGTGACCATTGTTATGTGTACTGTGAAATTTCCTGTGATAAAACTACAGACTCCCTTATACGACGAAAGTATGAGTTGGAAAAATTGGACTGGCTATTGTTAAAAGAAAAACTTGGAAATTACTTTTCAACTATTAAAATGCAATACATAAAAGATACAGTTGATTTAAACGAACTCATAAAAACATGGACACAAAATATACAAGAAATATATGAAATGCAATAAGAGCCAAAGGAAAATTTCTCAACACACAGCACAAAGGAGTCCCATGGTGGACGCAAAACTTAACTATCATGCGGAAAAGAATACTCACTGAAAAGAAAAATCAGAGATGCACTCAAGATGAAGAACTAAGAGCCCAATACAAGCAAATCTATAAAAAGGACTTAGCAAAATACAAACCTGAATTATTGCATTCCAAAAGAACATGCTGGAAAAATCATCTTGAAAATATTGATCCCAAATTACCCTTTGGAATACATTATGATATTCCAAAAGGAAGTATTTCCTTACCATTTCAAATCAAAGCGTTATGAAAGCCAGGCAATACCAAAACTCAAACAATTGACGAGACTAGAAAACTTCTTCTGGAACATCATTTTCCAGCAGATGACCGTAGTGAAGATTCTCCGGAGCACACGTTAATTAGAACTCAACTAAAATGCAGATACGGTGCTAAAAAAGACCTCCCATTTACTAGACAGGAGGTAGAACATGCAATTAAATCTTTAAACATTGGTAAAGCTCCAGGTTTGGATAACCTTCCAAGAGAGATCATATTAGAAGTATTTTACGCTAATCCAATGTTGCAAACTGAACTTTATAATGAACTCCTACGACGAGGTATCTTTCCAGAATGAGCAAAGTATACGATAAGTTGATAACTAACAGATTAAATTACTATCTGTTCTCTAACGGTAAAATTAGCCAAAAACAATATGGATTCACAGTAGGTGTGTGTTCCACGGATGCAATCAAAGATATCATCAATACAGTCAAAGAAATAATAGTTATACAAACATTACACAGTCAAAAGTCGTTAATCCGGACTCGTCGGGACTTCGGCGATTCCGGATTATCGATTTTTGCGAATTATAGATCATCAGTTTAAATCGGTAAGATGGAATAGAAATTTATAAAATTAAAAATGAACCGGATTTATGAAAATAAAAACAATTATGATCAAGGGTATCAAAATTCACAAAAAAAAAAAAAAAAAAAAAAAGCTTATATTAATTTGTTAACTTTATTAAACATTTCTTTCAATGCAGTTGTTTAGTTGCTCCTTTTTGTGATAATACTTTCTCTTTAATTCTATAAACAGACATAATTTCTTGTTCAGTTCAAAGTTCGCGGTCAAGTCCTATAATTGCTGTGTCGAGTATACCACTAATTTGTCAATCGAAATTTTTCATTTTCATAACCTCTGTGTCACTTTCTTCACTATCGGAAGCGAATTATAATGAGGAGGAATTGATTTAAATCATATCAAAGACGGAGTAATCGAGATGAAATACTACATTTAGTAAGGAATTATAAGCCAAATAAAATAAAAACATCTGCCCTGAAGATAAGGATAGTGCTGACAGATCAACTTCCAATTCATTGCGTGACGCGACGGATCGGGAGAGTGCAATTCAAAGAACTAAAAGAGGATGGTCAGACTTCTGTTTTGAAACTATCAATTTTCCCAAAGAAGCTCTCGATTTTCCAGTGCATAAATGGTATACTCACCCAGCACAGATTAAAATCTATGAATGGCACGACCACCTTCCAATTAATAAAGATTACGAAGTATTTACGAATGGATCAAAGAATGATGAAGGCACAGGAGCTGGCTTCTGCGTCTACTGGAACAGTACTCTATAAGCTGAATACACATACAAGCTGGATAAAAACTGTTCCGCATACCAAGCGGAAACACAAGCGATGAAATCAGCTCTTCTCTGTATAAAAGATCATAAGTGCAAAGCTCAAATATACACGGATAGTCAAGCAGTTTTAAAATCTCTGGCAAAGTTTGATATCTTAAATTCAGAAATCATAGAAGTTAAAAAGCTCGTCTTTATAACTAAAGTAAAATTACATTGGATAAGAGGCCATTGCGGTTACAGAAGAAATGAGAAGGCAGATGAGCTTGCTAAAAAGGGTATATCTTCCACATTTTATAATATTAATTATAAAATACCCTTTAGTAATATAGTGCGTAAAGGTAAAGTACAAGCCCTCATCCTGTGGCAACGCTGACGGCAAGAAGAAGAAACTGGTAGATCCACTTTCAAGATCCTTCTAAAAATTTCTGAGAGAAGACACTTTAATGATTTCTTTATTAATCAAATTTTATCGAATCACGGAGCCTTTCCCTGCTATTTTAACAGATTCAAGATCAAAAATCCTCCTAGTTGTTGTCTTTGCAGCTTAGATTCAGCAGATGCACTGCACATGATTCTAGACTGCCCAAGTTTGGACAGTAAATGACAAGAACTATTTCCTCAAAATCTAAACTTCGATCTTTTATGTAAACTATTGTTATTAGAAGAAGGTCGAATTCATCTTTCTAAACTTATGGAATATGTATATACAAATGAAAATATAATTTATGTCTAACATTGATTTGTAATGGCCTATAAATGTTGTATGTTATTCTACATTTTGTATTAATAAAATATGTAAAGAATTGTAATTCTTGTATCTCATCCTTCCTTGTATTATTGAATCTTTATTATCCTTGTATTACTATACGATTATTATCTCTTATCTTTATATACTATTTGATCATGTAATTCTTGTATTTAAATTTCAATAAAGATGTTAGCGAGGCCAATACATCTTCTAGTTAGCAGACTTCAAAATTTATGCTAGGTTTTAAAATATTTAAAATTTGTATTCAAAATTTTAGCTATTGTTGGATTCATTGGATTCTTTTAGCCTATGGCTCTGGTGATACCTCAACACTGAGGTGAGGATTGCATATTCCATTCTTATGTATAAGCTATGAAATTGAAGTTCTGACACAAATAAGTTTATTTTAAAATTCCTTCAGTTAGGTGTTATTTCCTAGAAGACCCAATACAGGATTATAAATTGCCTGTCTGCATGGATAAAAAGTTATATATTCCATACATGCTCACATGATTCAAATGTAAATAGCAGGGAGAAAGCAGATTCACTCTTTTATTTTCCCCACAATCAACCTTGCTGGTGATATAAAAGTACTTAATGAATGAATAAATCACCTCCTCCAGAGATGTATCTGATATGCCATAGCTGCTGATATGTAGTTCTTCTAAGCTCATGTCTAAAGCTTTAAATAATCGCTGAAGTTCACCAGATCTCTGCGAAGAAGGAGGAATGAGATAAGAAACTTCTGATCCAACATCTTCCACCAGCTTGGCTTCTGGCACATACGTGTGGATAAACCTTGTAACTTGGGATATAAGACATAAACCACCTGAAATCAAATGAAAGAAGAAAATTGCAAAGAAAGGACATTAATATGACTCTGTAATCATTGGAAAATAAGACCTTCCTAACATTTTAGGATAAGAAATAAAAATGCAGGGGAATATTTATTTTGTCTTGAAGTAATACTGAGATAAAGAATCTTAGATCCCCTTCTTTCAGAATTTCCTTGCAATTACAGAAATGCAAGCTGCAGCCCAAAGGCATTATTAATGATATATTGTTATTTGCCAGTTTTCTGTCCCACCACAGACCAATTATTGTGGAAGCAGGCCTTAGCTTGAAATCACTCGGCTAGATGTGGCTATTATAATTAGCAGTGATTAGGCATTTATATAGACAATAACTATATATGTGGTTTAATACTTAAACAGTTGTAATAATTGAACTCCTTTCCCCCATTCTCCAATTTTATTTACCAAAATACCCATTGATAAGACCAAATTTTTGTATAAAAGTACAGTAAGAAAAGTCTTATTTTCAAGTGCATATAATATTTTTTGAATACTCTACTTTTCAATGATCTGATAAAATTCTGGTAAGTCATGAATGAGGTTTTAGAACTAGTACTATCAATGAAGCAGAAGTTTTAATTTATAAAGTTTAATAAGCTTTTTCCTTTCTTATTCTTAAAAAGCACAGTACAAAGGATAAATATTAGAACAGGAAACAATCTCACAAGTGCACTCCAGCACATTCACAAGGAATTACTTGAGGATGAGTTTTGGATCTCTTCCTTCAACCTCCCTGAAAGGGCTAAATGTTATTTTAAGTGCCCCCCTGCTACAAAAACACCATGCATTTGCAAATAACCTTGCCTTCTACAGGATTCGAACCTGGACTCAAAATTATGGGAACTGGCTTTCTACCAACATGCCATGAAGGCAGTCTAAAATATTAAAATATTGTACTGTGTTAAGCATGATGGCCAGGAAGGTTACTCCTGAACAACCTCAGGTGAAATTTTAAGACTCATTCTGACTTTCAAAAATTATAGAAATGGTGTCAACTCACTATAGGGATAGTTGATTTAAAAGTGCTATAGTTAAGGCTCAAATTTGGAAGAAATGTTACATATTAACCCTATATTCAAAACCTTTACAATCTAATGAAAGAAAGAAGATTCAGAAAAGCAGTTTAAAAAAAAGATATTGTCAATTATAGATCAAACAATTCTTTCAATAAAGCAATGACTTGACAAGCTCAATATGGTTAGCATGCAATGGTCATTTACAAGTTTTATATGAATTTGTAAAATTGAATAGAAGCTCATTAGTGGAAAACTGCGAAAGTTTGCATTGCAAACAACAATTGAAGGCAAAATAAAGCTGATTGATGAAAATATTTTTTGAAGCTGGGGATTTGATTGTCAGTGAAACTGCAAAATAAAAAAAAGTTTCATGTAACAGCCCATACATTAAGATAAGTATCTTTAAAGTATTACATATAAACATAGGAAGCCTTCTAAAAGATATGTGACAGGTTCCATTTACAATAGACTGCAATTGTTTTAATATATTAAATCATAATATTATGGTTTTGTTATATTAATATGTTTATTTTACATGGAGCACCAAATGCATTGATTGCTGATAGGCTGTAGTCATTTGGATCTCCCCCAAGTTGAGGCACATTTGAAGTTTCATTTCATAAAATGAAAACTAAAACTAATCTACCTTCCTTAAGTATTTCTCTTCCAAAATTCATAACAAATATTACAATGCTTATAATAATTTAATATATTTTAATGTTCATATCTTTACATTCTTGCTTTATTTTGCTAATTTTTATCAATAACTTAAATAACTTCCCAAATCCACCTTTTGAGTAAGTTTTTCTGCTTATTCTCAATTTTCTCATTTCACTGCATTTCTTCTTCCTAGATATGTCATTTGTAAGGATTTCCCAAATAATGGTTTTATAATTTCTACATCAGACTATTTAATGTATGTATTCCTCAGTTCCCTCTATCGTTTTTTTTCCCCCTCTGATAAAAAAAAAAAAAAATCATTTGAGACATAAAATAACACCATCCACATTTCATTTCTATTTTGTACTTATAACTGGACTTTAAAGAAAAGACCATTATATTTTAAAATGCATATTATAAAATGCTTATTTAAATTTTATTATTATATAAATATTCCCAGACACAATGTTTTTCCGTTTCCATACATAATAGAAATTTAGTTTAAGTAGCAAAGGTTGGTCTGTTTGTTATAACGACTTCTGACATTGGAGTTACAAAATGACAAAACAACGTTTATGAAAAAACATTGAAATAATGTGTTTTGTTAAATGGCCCCTATGAATTGTCATGTAAAATAAATAACAAGTCATTATCATAAACTATGCAACAAGCTAAAGAGAGTTACAGAAAAAGTTCATTCATGAGGCATTATTTCAGTTTCACACTAAATGTCACACTGAAATAATACTTTTCATAAGAAGATTTGATTAGGAAATATAAGCATTCTCTTCAGTAATTTTATATTTTATATCAAGATAGACACTTGCTAACCGTTTGAAAAATTCAAAAACCTAATTTGCTCTCATGGCACACAGGTTAAGATTAAGGTCTCATGGCACAGAATTAAGATTCCTTCAAGTGCAAGTATCAAAAGAGTACGGAAAATTAAACCCATAATTTATTTATCTTAGAGAAATGAATGAAATGACATAAGCATAAATTATTATTGGTCGTTGGTGATTATTTTTATACAATCAATTAATTACATAATATTACTTCTACATATTTTCACACAATCAAATACCTAATGTTTAAAAATAACGAAATTTCATATAGATTAATACCACATATAAAAAAAGTACTTCTATACTGGAAATGGTATAAAAAGGTAATTTATATTAGACACGCTGGAAAAAATAAAGAATAAAGAATATAAAATACCCCAAGGAGAACTAGATGCTGAACTCAGACCATTTTCTGGCAAGAGATTATTTTCCGACAGATCTGATTTTGAGTCGATGGTAGACATGTCTGCGACACCTTCGTCGGTAATTTCCTAAAAAAGGAAGATAATCATACGAAATTTATAAGAATAGCATGTTTTAACTCATTTAATTCTAATCAAAAATTATATTCTAATTTTAATATCATAACAAAACAGAGTTGGGATTCTTCTGGAGAAAACCCCAAAGAAACTGCAAGAAATAGAAAATGATGTGGGTTTGCTAAAGAAGAAAAAATTATTACTAACAATTTAACTCATTTGAAAATAAATGTTTTATTACTTCTGCTGTAAAGTGCAAAGTTATTAAATAATTTTAAAAAATCTTATGTGGCCAGCACATGACCTCCACCAATTCAGCATTATGACATGGGAACAAAGGAATATCAATGTGCTTTAAGTAAACTATTACTTTTGGTTGATCGTTTGTAAATAAAAATCTAACTAAAATTAGATTAATTTAATTTTACACTAATTTGTTAATAAACTTTATGGGTCAATGTAATAACAAGCACTATTAAATTTTTATTTTTCTGTTCTCATACAATGGACAATAACTATATGTACTTGTGTATGCATTCTCTCCTCATGCTTTGATTTGAAAACACTGCACCATTCGTAGTATATCCTCTGGTCATATAGTATTTTGGATTCAGAAATCAATGATTTCATAATCACAAAATTTTTAAAACAGCCTATCTTTAGAATTCTCTGCCATATATTTCCTTTTACATTCACTACATTATTTATATTTGATATATTATTACTTTAAAAATAATATACAGTGATAACATTCGGTGACAACATCCCTTTGTTTGAAATAAAAGTATACAAACACAAAATTGATGATTATAGTTAATATATTTAATTGCTTCATAAAAACAGCTCATCTTCAAAACAAGCTTATTCTTGTTGCATTTGGCATAATTTCAAGAATACACTTAATGCTCATAAACATAATAGTTGTTTTCAATTACATACCCATTTTAAATAAAAAATTTAAGAAGTTTTGGATTAACTTACAATATATTTCTCCATGGAAATCTGTTCACTGGAAGTGAAATTTAAGTAAAATATCACTTTTGGTTCTCATTTATTTTACCCCAAATTTAGTATGTTGTTCGATATAAAAGTCATATATACTAACATTCAAAAGTCATACATTATATTTTATTATAGTTTTTCATTAAAAATTGTTACAGGCTTCAAGTAAAATCCCAGTTCTGATTACCCATTAAAGATTGTCATGGGCTTTTTATAAACTACCATTTCCAGTTGTCCAATTTTACCCAAAATCTAATCAACTCTTTATATCAGCATATTTTAACCTGTGGTACGTGTACCCCCAGGGGTATGTGAAATGGTCTCAAGAGGTATAAAAAAAAAAAAAAAAAAAAAAAAAAAAAAAAGATGTAATGTTGGTCACTGATGGATTGATTGAATATGAAAGAAAAGATATTATTTCAAGTGCTGTTCTAACAACTGGCATTTCAAGGCCAAATATTTCATTATGAAAAATCAAAATAATTATACTGAATCTGACATAATTTTAATTTAGAAAGACATGCTTGTTTCAAATTCAGTTTAGGTATATGTATTTCATCTGCAGGAACAGTACCTGTCAAGAGGGATAGGATCAGTGCCAACACTGACAACAAATATATTTCAATAAGCTTTACACAAAGTCAGCAGGCAATTCAGAATCTTTTTCTGTAATAAAATTTTATTTCTGCAAAGAATCTGGGATAATACAACATTTAAATAGGATGAAAGCAACTTTTAAAAAATATCCCAAACGTAGAACATACGAACACTGGATTGTATTCCTTTTCAGTGAAACGTATTTCCAGTGTGCATGTTTATCAGAAAAAAATTGATTGAACTGAAAATTGATTTTTCACTTAACACATTTATGCCTTGGTAGAATTTTAAAAGAAATCACTCCTCTCTTTCTGGACCAACTTGAAAAAAGAATATCCTGAACAATCAATTGAAAATTGATTTTTCACTTAACACATTTATGCCTAGGTAGAATTTTAAAAGAAATCACTCCTCTCTTTCTGGACCAACTTGAAAAAAGAATATCCTGAACTATTCAACACAGTAATCACAATTTTGTTACCATTCAAAAGCACTGTATTATGCAGGAATATTTTCTAGCATAAGTTCAGACTTGAAACTGCATTTTTCATCTTTTGATTCAGACTTTAAATTACTGAGTACTGCCAAACAGCCTCAAAGTTCCCATTAAATAAGCTTTTACTTTTTTTTAATTTAATTAAATGTGTATAATTACGAATGTACATAATTTTTGCTTAACTGGTATAAACAAAAATGTCTCTGTATTATTACTGTATCTGTAGACACGGCTCTTGATAATTATACATAATGAGTGAGGTGGAGTACATGGAGCAGTGATGATAGGTCAAGGGATATACAAGTTAAAGAAGGTTGAGAACGCTGCTTTATACAGATGTAGAAAGCTTGTATATGAAAAATGAAAATTTTTGGAAGTTTTATATAAGAGCTATTGTGGATGAATTGTCATACAAACACACAGACATTCTTAAAATAGAACCCTAATTTAGGTTAATTCACTGAAAACTCAAGAGTTAAATTTTAGGAATGAAAACATTACCTACAAGTTGACAGGATGTAAAAATGTGAAAAATGTGTTAGAATTATCATACACTTGCAGATAAGATATTTCACTGATTTTTTTCTTTCAAACATGTTGCATCAATATGATTATCATTACAATTTAAAATTTTACAAATGAACTAAATTTTTTAAAAAAAAATTGTATAGTTAATTAATAGTTTTTAGGAATATTTTGATGTTTTAAACATGTCCCAATTATATAATATTTCATTTTATTTTTTTTTCTTTTGTTCAGTAGCTCCTTCTCTTTCTTTTAATTGGCATTTTTTTAATAAATGATCTTGGTAAAAGATCTACCTGCTTTTTAAACAAAAATTTTATTGGTTTCTGCACATGAATTTGCATTTTATAATATGAATACATATAATGGAAATATTTAAACTGAAGAAATAACTAAAAAATAAGTTTCCCCCCCCTGCATGATTTTCTCCACCATGGAAGAAGTTGCCAATCCTGTTCAGAATACACAGTTTCCAACACCTAACCTTACCCTAGTACCATGTGCAATACATTAAATTTGAAAGAAAAGAGTCATTTCTGAAATTCACATGAATTCTGCTGAACTTGAGATTAAATTTCAGCAGAATTATAGTAAATTTCCTCCTCTTTTGAATTTACTTATTCAAAACAAGTTACTGCATGCAGGGCCAACCAGAACTGGTGCAACTGCACTGGGTGGCACAATTTAGGGGCATCAAAAATTTTAGAATTAAGCGAAGCATTGAGCAACAAAATTTAGGGATGGCAAAATTTTTAGAATCTAGGGTCATTTGCATCGGCCAGCATAATTTAGGGGCAGAAAAATTTTAGAATTTTTGGAAGCACTATGCAGCAGAATTAAGGACTTGTAAAGACTGCACAAAGCAGCAAAATGCCTAGTGCCAGTCCTGACAGTATGCAATAGCAAAAAATGTTCTGCTTTGTTAACTACATTTATAATGCCATACATTCAACTTCATAATTCAGTTTTGCTTTCTAGTCTTCCTCAATAATTAATGTTATTTAATTATCTCCATCGATACTTACATATTAGTTCAACCTTAATAGAAGTGTGCAGATTTTCAGTATACACCAAATTTTGGCAACCATGAGCATAACAATTCTTACGTATTAAAAAACAATGTCACCTTTTTTGTGTGTGCTCTTTTTGTTATATTTCAAGTTTCAATGACTTTAATATATACATTTTATATTTTTATTTTATAATTATCTGCTTGTGAAATTTCCTTGCAATGGAAAAAACTGTGGCAAAATTTATACAGAAAAACAGTAGAGTAGAGTTCTGCAAACTTGAACGAACATGGACTGAGAGGATGTCGGGTTACCGAAAATATCAGTTTTATGGAAGAAGGTATGGGTATACGCAACTTATAATATTTTGTTCAATGTCTAAATCCATGGCAATTTTATTAATATTTTTTTATTCTCCAGTATCTTAAGGCATGCAATTTCATTTCCATTGTTCTATTAATTTCTTTTCTTCTTGTTCAACATTTTCATTTGCTTAGACAGGTACCTCTGCTAGCTCTGTAGTACCACAGGTCTTTGAGGTCTTGGTGAAACTAGCTACTATTAAGCTTTCACCTTAATTTTGAGGGACAGCAATCCCAGGGGGCTTGTTTCAAAGTCTCTTACAACTCTTTACTTACCAGAATCCCCTTGAAATTTCTTTCGGCTCGCCATGTATTACGAGTGCCCCCTTGCCCTACAGACATTATATGCTTACAAACATCCATGCCTTCTCACAGATTCGAAAGCAGGCCACTTGGCATGGTAGCTAGCATTACTCACAACTATACCTGCTAGGACAACACATTGCAACAATTGTAAGTCTGGAAACAAAGAGAAACTCTACCCAGATTAAACTGAAAGTTTAGCTTACAACAGAATACAGCCATAAAGTTTGGCTTTCAACAGGGCACAGCTATAAACCTGATAACTGCTAGCAACAGAAAAGAGGAATGTAAGTGGTAATTAACAGGGTTTATCTGACTTTTTCAGCCATTTTATTACTAAGTGGAGGAATGGGGTGGATTGGAATTTTATTGAAAAGAAAATCTGTTACCACATTCATTATACAGATTCCAAGAAATTGTGGCACAAAGAGAAAGAGACAAAAATTGCAAAATTAAAATATCATAATAAATTTTTTAAAAGAACAGGAAATTACGTAGCCATTTATATACAATAAATATGTACTGCAAATACAATGACACATAAATTAAAATTTACTTATATTATTTGCACCACTGTAGAGGTGATTCTAGAAATTATTATAGCTATTAATAACATTATTTCAAAGAGAATGTTTTGCTTGGTTAGCAGATTCTAGCAATTATAAGTAAAAAATGAAGGTCAAGTTGTATGGAATGTCAATAACTGGAAGTTGAATTTGCTGAACTCGACTACAGTTTGCCACAAAATTATTGAAAAATTATTGAAAACAACTGCTTTAAATTTTTAAAGTGTTCATCATAAAACTTTCAACATAACAATAGAAATCCAAAGCTTGCTTGTAAGTAGATTTACTGATTGGTTTTAAGGATAAATACCTAATTTAAATATAAGAAACATAGGCAATAATAAACATGTATGTATGTACAAAATATTTTTTTGCACTTATAATTTATCACTTGTTGCTTTCTGTAAAATATCACACTGGGCCAAGGTTATTGTGCTACTACATTAAATAACTTTTTGTTATTGATGCAAATTAAAATTAAGTTTCAAAATCTATCAAAATTCATAGCTGCGAAAGCAGATCATACAGCAAGTATACAAATATATACATATATATATTATATTTACAAAAAAGAAAGAAAGAAAAAGGTTATTGTAAGTATGCATATGAAGTTAATTAAATTACATATAAAATTAAAATATTAAAATTATAATACTGCTACAAAATTCATAGATGTAAAAGCAACAAAATTCATAGATGTGAAAGCAGATTTTAAAGCAAGTATACAAAAATTCCCTTAATGAAAGAACCCTGCTGCTTCCGACAGGTTTGCTAACTCAGTAAAAAATTGCATTATACTACTTTTCTGAATCCACAGTTTAACTGATTTTATACACAATAAATTTATGCAGTTGAGAGTTATGAAAATGATTATATTTAATTATATTAGCTTTCAGAAGTTAAATATTACATTTTTAGTTTTGTGTACAATAATACTTTTGCTAAATGGAAAGGATGGTCACTTAGTGACATAAGATTCTGCTGTCAGACAGGTTTTGCTATTTACAGACTATTTCTGTGTTATTTTTTATATACATTTTAACACAATTATTGATCTTTTGCACGCTACTTTAAATCTAGTTTACTGTTATAATGTCTAGGAAACAAGAGTTGTTACTAAATGAAGAAAACTGAAATAAAAAAAAATAAATAATTAAATAAAAAAGGACATATTTACCAAATATAGAACTCTAAAAAAAGTGGGGGGAATTCTTTTGTCAGCACTGAAATCAAATATATAGGTTATTTTTAAGGATCATTTGTAAATAAAACCTGAAATTTCTCATGTACCTGAAAATGAGTGCATGTCAAAGTTCCAAGAATTCTCTGTGCAGAATCCGATACCATTCACATTTATGGTATCAGTCTGTATGCAGTTAAAACGTTTAAGGAAATTAAGTGCCTGCCACCTGTCAAATATATGTCATCTATTTCTTAACAGCAAGAAATGTGAAATTTGCGGATCTTCATCATCAGATATGAAAAATTTACAGTGAGCAATGTTAAAATATGAAAAGAGATAGGACTGTCTGAGGAACTGTCCAAGATAAATCACACTCAGGTTTGCTATCTATAATACTGACAATTTGGTACAGACCCAAATTCACACAAACAGGAGATTTGAGCAAACTGTACAGAGAAATGAAAACCGTTGATGGGGAAATATAAATGACAGTGGTATGACTAGCTCTCATCATCATCAGCAGCAGAGTTCTTTTAAAAGAATATCTAAAAACTCACTATTTGTTATGATAAACTAAAATCAAAATTTTGTAAAAAAATAGATAAACCACATTAATTTCAGAAAATAAATTATTTTAAAAAATATTTTTACTCTTTTCCTTTTTATAGCAAATTGGACCCTACATAAAAAATAACTTTTGTATAACTGGAAGAAGAAAAATAGAATCAAAATGAGCAGCTTGTTGAAAATAAACAATTTGAGCATTCCACGTAAAACATTTTTCCAATACTCAATATTTATTTTGGAGTTTTTCACTCAATTTCATGTGTCAAATATTCCATTGAATAGGTTTGTGTTAATAGACAAGGCAAAAAAGATAGTATTTAATTGAATGTGAAGGGTAACTACTTTTCAATCAGACCTTAATTTAAACTGCACCATGCAATTTCATGTTAAATCACAAGAGGATAATTTGAGTATGCCCAAGGTGACTGTTAAAGACTATTTCAAAAATTTATCAAAAGAAATGGGAGGATATTAATTTAAATATATTTTTTATCTTCATAAACTGGTCTTATCTTTCATACCATTTATGTATGAAAGCCCAGTCTTTTAAAGTGATCAGTGTAATGAAGCCTTAGTAACTAAAATAAGACGTATTTTTTCCTGAACTAAAATTTGTCTTTTTCCTTTGTATGTCTTTTTTTAAATCATCAATTGGAAGTATAAATGTCACTTTATTGTGATTTTGGTAATTAAAAAGGAGTATGAGCATATGAAGATTCACTTACACTAGAACCTTTATGGGAATTTTCCTTCATCATGCTGGAAGAGCCCTTGCTGTTCCTGTGCTCATGGTTAATAAGGTTATAATCAGATGATTTCACAAGAGTCAAATAGTAACCATTGCCAAATCGAGTTTTCAGAAACAACGATGAACCACAGCACCTGAGTTTTCCATTCGCAATTACGGCAATGCGATCTCCAAGCAGATCTGCTTCATCCATGTGATGGGTGGTGAGAATCACAGTTCTTCCTAAAATAAAATGAACCTTTGTAATTTGGGTGACAACGCTTCATGCTTTTAAAAGAATTATTTTAAACATGGAGCGTGTAAAAATTGGCGAAAATATTGTCAATAATATCAGGATTCAAAGAAGCTGCAATTATATATCCCCAGATTAAGAGACAGTAAACGAAGAGGATGAATGTGATGATTTGGCAGACTTAGACTATTAAGATCAGGATTCGCCCAAATCTTTTTGTGAAGAATCAGATTTTGATGGCTTCATATGATGTACAGTTAGCTGTATTTCTTTTTGTTAGCAAAAGTAAGATTTATAATTTGCTTCTGTTATTCAATTTAATTCTTGTTGCAATATTTTTTAAAACATAGCGGGAGCATATACATAAGTATATGGACTTCTTTAGTAGAAAAATATAAGTAAATCTCCAAACATAAGTATATTTTTCAACATTTCTTACCTATAACTTATTTTTGAATAATGGGTTCATTTCCTGCATTTTTCTTAAGTGATATGCAATATATTATGATATAGGTTAAGATTTTGTGACTCAGACATTCATAACAATGTCATGCACAATTTAACTTCATGCCATTTATACTGATATAGCATTTCTGTGCAATTTTTTTTTGGGTTAATATTTATATGCTGATGCAGCCTTTCTTCCAGAACTTACGGTACTTATCCTAATACTGGATGCTACATGTAAATTGAAAAAAAAATATAGGGAAGTACAAAATAGAAAAATAAATGTCAGTGCGACATTGCCTGCCACCACCCAGATTTTTACTTATCTGAATTCATGTGGCATCAGTCACAAAAGATGATGCAAATGTTTCCAATAATATTAATGTCTCCTGAATTATCTGAAATTAATTTCATAAAATCCATTTTATATTTTTTTAAATAGTGAATGTTTATGTTCTTTTCATGAAGCAGTAAATATCATTACATATACCATCTAATGCCAAAATTCAAATTTAGCACCAAATAGCATCCCATTAACTGGGAAATGCCCTAGAAATATTTTTTGGTTTTGACAGTAGTGCCAAAACTTAATAATTAACAACAACATATTTTTTACTATTAGATAAAATAAACTATAGTTAGGTAATACATATTTAAATACAAAGTTTTAAATAGAAGAGGTACATGCAAGTATAAAATTTAAAATTATGCAAAAAAGCCATCTTCAACAGCCACAGATTTTGAATAAAACCTATCAATTTTAAAAACCTATCAATTTTTAAATTTAGTTTTTGATTGAAAACAAAGTTTTCAATCAAAGACTAAATTTCTACAAACCAAACAAAATTTTCACACACAAAAAGTTACAGAACAGCATAAAATATTCTGAGAATACTAGATTTTAAAAACAATTAGGCAACAAAATTATATAAGAAATTAATATTTCATATCAATATAATTGATGTTTCATTCCTACAATCAAAATCACACAAAAGCTAAACTGAATGTAAATTTTGCTTTAATCTGAATCTCAGCTTTAACTGCTAACCTCTTAAATTCTTTATTAACCCCTTTGAGCCAGGTAGCGAAAACGCGCGCTTATCACTGAGGCCGGCAGTGTCTTACGCGAGCGTCTCTCCAGGGCTGGGGACTTTTTTGCTACTAAGCCTAAATCCATGAAATTTCCGAAGTATCAACGCATTGTTTAATAATGCTCTATAGAGTATTTAAACAAACGAAGCATCATCGTCTCATTTTCTTATCACTCTCTTCTGAACAAAGTTTGGAAAATGTCTTTCAGTTAATCTTTCAGAATCAATATCAGAATATCAGAATTTCAGAATCAATATCTGAAATATTTTGCATCATTTCTGCTATTTCATGCTCTGTTAAACATTTTCGACGCTTCGACATTGCAACGGTAAAAACAAAGAATTCACGTCTAACAAGATCTAATTATTTTCTAAAAACTGAACTGCAAACCGAAATACCCAACGCTTTAGAGCAAATAAAACTTCTCTACTTACAGTAAACAACTACCACGTGCGAATAAAGTGTGATTTAAGGAGACGTCATAAATCACGCCATTCGGAAACATTTATTTCCCCGTTTGTTTATATAATCAAAAACACGTGTATGTGAGTCATGCTTCTCTCATTTCGAGTAGAAGGTCTAATTTACATGTATCTGAAACCATATGGACATACAGTGCCATCTTGTGGCAGAAATTATAGTTTGAAAAATGTTTCAAAGTACTGGCACAAATACGTGACAGTCGGTAGAGAATGGAACAATCCTCTGGCACGCCTGCATGTCGGCCGGTAGGTAAGTGCGTTCGTTGCTGGCACGTATACGTGACAGTCGGCGCGAAGGGGTTAATTAATTACCATATATTCTGGCATATAATGTACATGTTTAATATAAAAAATAAGATCCCAGTTTAGGGGTGTGTGTTACATGCTAGATACACTATGTACCACATGCCATACCTCCCAAATTTCCGTTAACACAGTATGGAACATCTTTCCTGGTCATCTCAGTTCCAAGAACAGGGACATTTCCTGGCCTTGAAGATCCCCTGCCTTTTAGCATGTGATTTCTTCCTTTGGGGTCATTTGAAATTTGAGACCCACCACACACCTTCCAGGAACTGAAGGATCGAATTCAGGAGGAAGTTAATCGAATTCCAGTGCTAGTCTTACAAGGTGCGATGTCTAACTTCTATAAAAGACTTGGAATATGTGTGAAGGAAAACAAGGACCACCTATGTGATGCTATTTTCAAGTGATGGACATTTTGTACTCTGATATGCTTGTGCAATATGTGCAAGTTGTTCATTCCTCATAAATTGCAAGCATTGTAAATTCATGTTGTATTTCTTTTATATCGTTGTGAAGTTATTTGTATCGCTGGTGTAGGTTTCAAAATCGCCCATTTCACTGTTGTGGTAAAATATACCAGTATTACATAAGATGTTTTTATGAGATACAGTTTTTAAAAGTATCTCTATAAAATGATAAAAAAAATGACATATGTTGTAGTTTTTATGAATATCAGAAATATTCAGTTACCTTTGTATCAAACTACCGTATATTCTGGCAAATCATGTGCACTTTCTATATAGCAACAACAACAACAAAACAAAAACAAAAAAAAGAAGAGACCAAAATTTATAGGCATGCCTTTATACATTAGGTATAAAAAATTATAGATTTAAAAATAAGGAGTGAGCATTAAAAAAATTAGACTTTTATATATACCTAAATGCTATTTATTTAAAAGAAATAACATACCTTATGAACTTAGAAATTTTCATTTTCTGATTACGTGAAAAGTTCATCCTATTCATCTTCGAATTCATAGAATTCTGTTTCATCTTCACAATAACTGTTGCTCTGATTCGTAAATGGATAATAATTTTCCGTTCCATCTAGATTGTTAGATAAACTGAATTTTTTAAATGACTTTTGGATTATGTTGGGTTTAATTTCATTTCATGCTTTTATTATTCACTAACACACTATTTCTAAACTGGCATGACACATTTGGTATCCTTTTGTAAATGTTTTAACATCCATGTATTTTACTGTCATTTAAAATTTTCTTTGAATGGCTTATTGATACATACATCTAAAGTCTGGACTAATGGCATTAATCCACCTGGAAAACTGCACTGCCTGTATGCCTGCTCTTTCATTCAATAATTTCTTTGTATTATCCATTAGATAAGATCTAAACATGTCCCAGACTAAAAGACATTCTGGATTCTTTAAGGCAAAAGGACACTTCTGCCAAACATTTCTATACAACAATTTCATCATCATTTTCATCCATCCATCTTTTCTTGTGAACATGAATGAAAACACCATTTGGGAAATTACATTTTGACATTGTCTTTCTTTTAAAAATAAATATGGGTTTTTAAATTTTGAACCATCCGTGCACTAAGGTAAAGTGAGATCATTTGTGACCTGTTGTTTTTATATGAACCATTTTTGTTCCTTTCACATCAATTGTTTTATTTCCTATAATATCAAACATTACTGGAGTTTTATAAGTATTTCCAACATCTGAAAGTAAATGCTTTTTTTTTTTTTTTTTTTTTTTTTTGCCTTTGTAGGTCAATAGTATACTTCCGGAAACTAATCAATTTATTATCCACATCTTTCGGAAGCCTTTGCGAAACTTTTGTTTTTTCTCGTAGAAGTAAATTATTCCGTGCCATAAATCTACTACACCAACTTAAAATTGCTTTACATTTTTCACTTTCATTTTCATTCTTTTTGGTACACTTTAAGGTAAAAAAACGTATACTGTTTCTTGTTACAAATAATCCATTCTGGCACTTTTCTAGGACCCAGTTCGCAACACTTTCTTGTAGGAAAGGCCATTTTGTTACTCCTTTAGGCAAAGCATACTTATTCTTTGGCATATTAATTATTGTGATTTCACTTTTATTCCACTCATGCATGCAGCTTTCACCAACACTAAACATCGTTGCTGCAGCACAATTTCCATTTTCTTTCGAAGAATGAATGACTTTGCATTTGAAAAAAGCACTGTGCTTGTTCCTTTTCATGGGAGCCATATTTACTACTAAAAGGAACACTAGATCAACTGTATTTCAACTAGAGCAAATGCGACTTACTAAAGGCTTCAATTTTCACTTCAAAATCATAGCTTCAAATGACTACAGAGAGAGAAAACATCTAACTCCTAATTCTACGAATTCATTCAGGTTGGAAGTGCATTCTTACTCCAAATTATATCCCCCTTTTCTCGAAACCCTACAACAGCATTCTTCTGGGCAACTGCATTGAATACAATATGCCCTGTTTGCAGGAATATTTACTACCTCAAGCATTTAGCCAACACACATGTCGTTCCCCTTGTTGCTTGTTGATTCAATATACCATGGTTCGAAAGGCGAAAACAAATCTTCAAATAACTTACCTCAAAAAGTAAGAGCATTGCACATGTATCTTTTAGGTTTCTTTGTGAAGAATTGGATGTGCATTATATGGCAAATATACCTAAACTTTAAAAAATAAAGCTTGAATTTAAAGATGTGTGTTATACACCAGAAAATACATAAGAATTTGGATTCTACAATTTCTTTCTACAACTCAGTTTAATTCTATGAAAGGTGACAGATGACATTCAATATCACCTATCATTAACAATAATTATAACTAAACCAATGCCATATTTAAATTAACTAGTGAAAAGTCTAAAAGCAACAATTCCCTCCCAAAAAAGTTGCACTCTTTACTAATAACTATACGAACACTGTACCAAAATTCAGAAATGAGAAATCTGCAAGAAACAGCACCCAAAAAAGTTGCAGAGATTGGGGGAAAACGATACTTAACATAGTAATGGAGAAGCATTGGCTAATTTTAGTGACAATTTGATACAAGTCGCTTTATTTGGCAGTCACTTCTAAAATAGTTTTGAAGAGTTTTCCACCGAGATGCAATACTCTGCTGCTACATGAATCCCTAAAAGTGCAACGTTAGACGGTGTCTTGTGTACCCTATGTTTTTTGCTTTGCCGTTCTGAAGAACTCCTTACCAATTTGATATTTTAATATTAAATCTAGAATGTATATTGCACAATAAAAAAAAAAAAGAGACAGTTTATCTCCCTTTCTAATGGACCGATTGATGAAATTCAAATTGCACTTTTCATGTCTCAAAAGCATGACTTAGGATACATACTAGATTTTTATATAGCATTAATCCAACATAGGTATTTTGACACAAAATTGGACTTTTTCTGAAATGGCATGCTATTTTTTTCCATATTTTGATTTTACGACTCAAATTATGCTTAAATATTAAATTTTGTAAAATTTGGTGCAAAATTTACAGAGAAATTCAAAAATTTATCTTGGTTTATTTTTTTCAGTTTTAGCCACGAAATTTATTATTATTTATTATTACTTGGTGATCTTTTTAATTTATAGCAACTTATTTTCAAAAAAGGTCATCATTCATACTTTCAAATGATTTAAAAAAAGTGTGTAAACCACATTTGGCATTATTATCGCTTATTACATATATACCAAATTTCAAAACATGCTAATGTATAAATTCATGTATATCATAGAAAATTTTGTGTAAAAAACTCATTTTTTGCAGGTGCGCTTAGAAATACATCTACTTTAAAATGATGTTAAAAATTTTATAGGTTGATACAAAAATTGTTTTGAAAAATTATATAAAAAATATTAAAAATACAAATTTTTAAAATAAATAATAAAAAATGTACGGATTATATTTGGATTAAGCCTAAATTTCGAATTTTGAAAGAAGAAATCAAGTAAGTTTAATAAAAAAAGAGATATTAATAATTATATATCAATTTGTCAGTCGGCCCAGTAGAGAAGGAGATAGAGAACTGACCCCCCTTTTTTTGTGTGCAGTGTACAAACTGAAACACCATGAATTCTTCAGCAATACATTTGTAAGAAGTTAATACCATCTGCTTCATTGTTTGGTAGATTCTACACACCCAGAATCAAACTGTAAACTAAAAAAAAAAAAAAAAAAAAAAAAAAAAAAAAAAAAAAAAAATGATTATTATAGATGTTCTTAGTGATGTCATTGTGTACAAAATAGTTTGTGTTTTGGTGCCAAAGTTGGAAATTATTCGCTCTTTTTTGATGAATTTTTGCTTTTTCTCCATTAACTTGCAAGTACCAAAAACAGTTTTTAAGTGAAAAAGAGTACAATTTAGCAACAATTCAATTCTAAAATTAAATGCTTGAACCAAAAAGGGAAAAAAATTATTTGTGCCATTTTTATAACTTGTAGATGGTACTGAATTTATTCTCATTGCAGCTGCATGTAATAAAAGATTTTTATTTTTGCGGAAAAAATTTAAACATACCAGCTTTATACTTAAGCAGGAGTTCCCAGATAGATCTTCTTGCATATGGATCTACACCAGCAGTAGGTTCGTCCAGTATAACGGTCTGAGACCCTCCAACAAAGGCGATGCCAATAGACAACTTACGCTGCATACCACCTATAGAAAAGGAACAAATAGTTGAACATTTTAAAAAATTTACTACTGCAGTTACTTTCATCTGTATGATTTAATTTTCTGCAAGATTCATAACTGTAATCAGAAATTTAATGACATTTCAATCTGCTGAGAGATTGATAAACAAAGAAGTTAAGCAAGATTCAAGACTTAACATTGTGCAAAGCTAGGGTAAAGACTTAGCAGTGTCTCCTAAAATAAGTGACATTCCATAGGGGCAAGATCAGATCATCCTATAAATGATGTTATTTTTCATATAGGACTTACTAAATCATGTTTTAACATGCTTAAACACACTTAGCATGCTTGATTTTCATGGATGTATAAATAAGCAAATTCAATCATTCGTGCACTGGAGATAAAAATGGTCCCCCCCATAACGTGTTCTATTGCTCGCTTTGAAATCATTGAGTTTGTTAATCAAAAATTCGTTAAAGTGTTACAAAATATGAAATCGATAATAAAACACATTCCAAATTAGGGCTTCCAGACGCCTATATTCGGTGGAGGATTATGTTATTCAAAATTTGATGGCTCTAGGTACCATTGTTTTAGCATAATGCAAGAAATATACATGCATTTATGTAGATTCTTTATTATTTAATTTCTTTAAATATAATACAGAGCCCTAATATTTGGCGGCAACAATTTAAAAAGTGAACCGACATTTCAATGCGAAATGCCAAAACGAAATTAATTGCCCTTCTGAGCTAACACCCTTTGGGCTATAGTGCAGTAATGCTGTCAAAAATGTGGAAGAAGTGTATGATAATTGAGTTTGGAATGTTCGTGAGTTTGCAATGTTATATAAAATTTAACCAAGATTAAAAAAATGGCAGACAGTGTGGCTTTTTTAAAAATAATGAGTTGAAACATTAATAACATTACAATAATGTGTTGACAGACATTCATATGAAACTCTTGAAGAATAGGTAAAACAGATTAATATATGATCACCAACTGTCTACAAGCATTTAAAGAAACTTGGAATCATGTCTCAGCTTTGCAGATGGGTTCCAAACAAATTTAGTGATGATAATTGAAGAAAACCTGTGAGCATCTGCACTGCTCTCCGTTTATGGGAGGGGGGGGGATTCTCTTTCTGAACCATCTGATGGTTTGACAGTTGCAAAATTTCAAGAATGGAAAGGAATTCATTTCCCATGAGGCACTTGAAACTTACCTTACAGAATTTTGTACAATAAGCTGGCTGAGCTCTTTAAGAAGGCATAAAAATATACATATAACAATACTGCCATTGAAGGTTTTAAATTTGTAATCCAGAAATATTCTGACCTAAGATATTTAATGGCTTAAGTGCCAAAATCCAGGCATTAGCTAACTAAATAAGTAATTTCGCAGGATCCTATTAAGTTTTACTACCAGTTATTTTAATTTATGAGCCTTTCCTGAGTTCTCTTATTCCCTCTCACATTTCCTCACAAGGATGTAAATGAAGTAGGTGAACGAGGGTATTTAAACTGCTGGAAATGGAAAGGTTAGATAGAATGTACTTCACTAATGCAAGTTTTTTAGTTTTTCTCCGGCTATTAATCTTGGTAGCTGTTACGCATTCTGGCCATCTAGTTAATATATATAAGCCGGTGTAGGTTTCTGACTCAGCCTGTTAGATTAAATTGAATTCTGTAGTCTAGCACTACACTTTGTATGCTAAATTAATGTATTGTTAAATTAACTTTTTAAAGTTCTTAATGCAAGCAGTCAGTACTGTTTTGTACGCACTTAAGTCCATGCCTTCTGTTAAACACTTTGTGATAAATAAAAGGATCTTTTCACCCTTTCCCTGGTTGTGTTCATCTTTTTGCCTGGGTGAGTATTCACAAGGTTTAACATTTAAGTAGATCTAGTTGCCATTTTATGTTAGCAAAGCATACTAGATCTCACAATTTAATTAGAATGCTAAAAACCACAGAGCATATATAAAGATGAAAAAAAATTCAAAACAAAAGAGCAATAACTACAAAAGGCCATTTTACTAACCAGACAAATTTTTGGATAATTCATTTGTTTTAGATTTTAAGTTCATATCTTTTATCATTTCATTAGCTTCTTCGATAACATCTTTTTCTTGAGCACCTTTCAAGCGTGCATAAAACCATAAATGTTCCAAGACAGTTAAGCTGGGGGGGAAAAAAATGTTATTACATACTAACAGCATTTTATTAACTTCATCACAAATAAAATTACTATTTAAAAGGATAATACAATGTTTCACTTATATTAAGCAATGCTTAATTATACAAATACCATAAGCATATACAGTCAAAAGTCGTTAATTCGGACACCCATAATCCGGAATGATCTATAATCTGGAACTCAAAGCTAAAAACTTTCTGCGCATGCGCCGCGTTGGCACATGCGCACAGACGTTTTACGCGTGTGCGTAAGACCTTGACTACTGCGCATATGCGTGTGCGCAAGTGCAGAATACGTTTTCGGCTGCGCGTTTAATGTAAAACGGACGGTGTAAGCTAAAATGATCTAATTATCTATTTCAGTTAATGTTAATGATTGCGTTGTTCCTTAATCTTCGAATTGGATCCGGCTTATTATTTTTTTGCAGACTGTAAGAGCAATTTTATAAAAGTAAACTTGAACTTTCGATTATGTCAAATAGAATTTCCGATGCTGGAACTTCCAAAGGATCTACAAAACAAAAGTATGTTTCGATGTCCAACAAACAAAAAGTGGAATTGCTGCAAAAAATGGATAAAGACATGAAGAACATGACAGAGAGGTTAGTGAAAACGAAAAAATTTCGATTGACAAGTTAGTCGGTATTCTCGGCGCAGCAATTAACGAGACTTAAACAGCGGAACTTTGTAATTGAACAAGAAATTATGTCTGTTTATAGAATTAAAGAGAAAGTATTATCACATAAAATGAAACAACTTACATTGAAAGAAATGTTTAATAAAGTAAACAAATAAATATTAAGCTTCTTTTTTTGTAAATTTTGATACCCTTTAGATCATAATTGTTCTTTATTTCATAAAAATTACGGTTTCAATATTTTTAATTTTAGAATTTTTTCTGCATGCCATCTTACGAGATTTAAACTGATGATGATCTATAATCCGGAATCGCCGAAGTCCCGATGAGTCCACATTAACGACTTTTGACTGTACATAAAATATAATATTAATTATCTGTATAATATAAATATAAAAGACACAAACATACTTATTAAAATTCTAAGAATGTAAAATGTTAGCCTGAAGTAATTCAGAAAAGAACCAAAAATTTAAACAAAAACAAGAAAGTGTAATAGAAAATTTATAGAATTAATCTAACACACAAGTTTCAACATTTTTATAAGTTTTCTTCTATAAATTCCTCGAATAAATATAATATCAAGTGCCACTGTCTCATAGGATATAATATATGATGTAAAAAATACTTTTTATTAATTATAATAATACTGCAAATAATGATCAGCCAGATATATATTAAAATGAAATACATTTTAAATCATATAAATTAGACAGATTATTGAAAGAAATTATATTATTATAACGAATTAATTTATCATGTTCAAATTACTCAATCTGTTAAGTGGTTACAATTTCAAAGCTAAATTCCCAAAATAGCTTTCAAATCTCCTGTCACATCAAATGGCCAAACTCTGGAAAGTAGCCATTACTCAGGCAGTCTTATAATATCTACATTGGTATTACTTGTCAAACTGCATGAATTACAATTTGTGGTATTGTAATAGTACTGTGGTATTGTAACAGTCTAAGTTTTGGAAAGACTCAATTAAAAATGTTTCTAATATGAAAATTCTAATTTTCAGCATCTCAAGTGGCCCACAATAGTTAACAAAAGTGACAAGAAGCTACTTATTCTAATTCATACATACAGCACAAAGTCTGGGATTCGGAATTGTTGGGATTTAAATGATTCCAAAAATTTTCAGACTTTAGATCATCTAAGTCACGTAAGATTATCAGGTTCAATGTTCCGCCTTACTTTCTTTGGGAACATGCAAGGACCTGACTCGGAACAGGGAGCTTACTAAAGCTATGTTCAAATAAATGTGGGAAGTAGACAGATACACAGGAAGGGTATACGAAACCCTTTATTTTTCACTCATTACAATAATTTCTGTACTTCGGAATACAGAGACCAACTACTTGTGGTCTGAACGTAAGAATATAAAAATATTTAACTAAACTCTGACTTAACTTTGGAATAATAAACGTGGAAGATTGGCCTTATATTAACAGGAAGCCGTATGTAGTACAGAGAACTGTTAACACTACAATACGTTTAAAAATTATCACGAGGATTAAACCTCTGGCCTGGAAGGCAACCAGCAACTGAGTAAAACTTCTAAGGCAAGCGGCCTGCTTCGACTACCTCCTTCCTTTCTCTTGCTTGGCAAAAAGCCACAACTTAAGTACTTGGCGTTCGCCAGACAAATTTTGCATAAATAAGTTAACGCTTTTAATTCTGGCCGGAAGTAGAAAATAAGAAGTGATAGTAAAGATTTTAAATAAAATAAACGTTCGTAAAACTTAAGATCCTTACATACTTCCCGCCAGAGTTAATTAGTTTGAAACTGAGGTCTAAAAGGACCTTGTTGAAAACTTTTAGCTCTAGAATCTAACGCGAGGCCAATCTTTTACAAACATTTTTCGCTAGAAAACTAGAAATTTAAAAGAAAGAAATTTGTTTTTACAATAGCAGCTCCCAGGACACACAATCTTTTTCATCTGTACTGCATCTAAACAGGAGCTTTTATTCAAATCTGGTTCCTTCCAGAGATCTGGAAGGAAAACTAGTTTAATGAAATGTTACACAATGAAATGGCAAGTAACATGTATAATTATATTTCTCTTAACATTCTTATTTCATTCATGACTTTTATTTAATTATCTCTCCCCATGCTCTCTGACATGTGTTGTAAAAGAAAACACTGAACACGAATGTGTTTATGTACCAGTGTTCAACACTGCCGCCTACAATCAAAACACTAACGTGTTAAAATTCAACATAACAAGACCTCAGAACACACCCTGAGGTACTATTCTGAAATCATTATCTGAAATCATTAGGTACTATTCATCTCTAAACCCTGAGGTACTATTCTGAAAAGTGGCTAACTCTGAAGTGTAGCGTCAGAGAGCCTAACTACATTCATTCAACATTTAACACATATTCACCATAATTTTGTCTTTTTACAGTCACACGAATAAGTTTTAATTTTTTTTCTTTTTCTTTTTCTTTTTTTTTTTTTTTTTGCATTACTTTCACTTTTACCATATCATAGTATTTCTTAACATTTAAAATAACAGTTCACATTGTATATAAGAACATATTAACATGCCGTTAATTTTACGCATTTTAAAACATACACTAGCGGGCAAGCCCGCCAGCTGAGCGGGCTGAAGCCCGCTGTTATTGGCCTTTATTCGCAAGTTGGACAGCCCGTTCGCCGGGATCGAAAGTTGGAGCGAACTACCAGTGTTCAGCGGTTTTGCGCTGCTGCTGCCGCTTTATTCACATATGCATCTGAACACTGCAGCACGATACACATGCCGAAAATCACGAAACACTCATGCAGCCAGCCCGCTCGCCGGAATTCGAAAAGTTGGACAAACTACCAGTGTTCATGTTTTGATCGGGCTGCGCCCCTTTATCCACGTATGCATCCAGAAGATACTGCATACACTATACACAACGGAAATCACGAAACAACCCATGCACCAGCCCCGTTCGCGGATTCGAAACTTGACCAACTACCGTGTTTAGTGACTTACAGCTCACCCGCAAAATGGGCCGTTGTAGAAAGTGTAATCGCGTAAATTTCGCATTATTATTCAACAGTAGATTCGTTATTAAATTCTTTTTACTTATAAACTTCAAATGATCACACGAAAACGTATCAATATATTAATGAAATAATAATCATAATTAATTATAATAAGAAAGGTTTTCCTATACCATCTCCAAGAAAAAAACATATTAATTAAAATCCGAATGAAAGAATTTTTTTTTTAGTGAAAATTTAAATTAGTAGTTTATAGTATTTAACTTCTTCTTTAATGTTGCATAGAAATTTTTTGAATAAGTGGGAATTATCCTAACCTGAAATAAAAAAAAAAATGCATAAAGCAGCTGTTATTTAAAATTGTAGAACTTCAAGAACGTCATCATTTAAATTTAATGTAATATCCAACTTTTACAATACGATAAAAGAAATAACGTGCAATACATTCGGGTAATATCCTAACCTGAAATAAAAAAATTGAAAAAGCAGCTAGTTATTTAAATACCTACATTAACGAAATATTTTCAAATACAGTTGAGGTAACATGCAATCGCGTGCTTTTTTAACTTTAGAATATAACCTTGATTTGTATCTGCGGCGATTCAAGAAACTTTGCAATCGGAAAATGAGCCCGAAAATTAGCGTTTCACAGTTTTTAATTAATATCTCAGCTGATTAAAGTCCTACGAAGATGAGAATGGTATCATTGGATTCCGAGAATTTTTTGGCAATCCGGCACACCTGCCTCGAATTCCAACTCAGCGCCGTTCCATAGATATTTGGAAAAAAAAAAAGAAATTGACACGTGACCTTTCGCCAGCACAATCTCGAGCGGAAGCAATTGTCCCCCCGGCGCTTTCGAAAAAGCAATTTTATCTCAGCTAATTCCGAGACGTTGCCACTCCGAAAAATGAAATAACGTTTTCGCAGTTTTTTTAATTAATAACTCCGCCGATTATTGTCGTACGAAGATGGACCGGTATCGATGGATTCGTTGATTTTTTTCGAATACGGGGATATGCGTTTCGAATTCGCAACTCGGAGCCGTTCCAGATATTCGAGAAAAACGAATTTGGCACTCGGCCAAATCCCTAAAACAGGGGAAACCCCGTGAAGAAAGTGCAAAACGTAGGGAAATGTAGGGAGAAAATCAGTTTTTAATTAATATCTCGGCTAATTAAAGTCGCACGAAGATGCCGATGGTCAATCCGGCGAGCCACGGGCATTCTGAATCCAACGGTACCTTCCGCTAAGCTCTACACCCAGCCGTTCCGAGGAGATGATGTTACAACACACACAACAGACAGAGGCACACAGATTTTTAATATATAGACTAGCGGGCAAGCCCGCCAGCTGAGCGGGCTGAAGCCCGCTTATCATTGTTCGTTTTTAAAAGATATCCTATGTTAAATTTGGCCGGTATTGAAAAGTTGAACCGAACTACCATTTTTTAGCGGCATTCCGCGGGCTTTCCCCCGCTTTTTTCACCTATGCATCCAGAAGTTACCGCATACACTATACATATGCGGAAAATCACGAAAACACCCATGCTTC